TCTGTTTATACAGAAGTTTGTTTCTTTAGATAAAGGTTTGTTTGTATAAATAAATAGACCACTTGTTTACATCTAAATCTTTTAGCAAAAGAGCTAGATTTGGTATTTAGGTGAGGGTTGCACAATAGCTCTTCATTATAGGATTCGGGTGCTTTGGATATGCTTGAATAATCTTGAGATGTGCTTAAATCTTTTTAAAGTAGAGGAACCACTTTTTTGTACCTTTCTTTTATTACAAATTTCACGGAAATGTCTTTTACTAGCTGGCCTGTTTTGTTTCTTTGGGGGAATGTTTTTACTATGTTGGGAGCTACTAAAGACAGTTAAAATGGAGCTGGAATCCAAATAGCTATTTTACTGCACATACAGCATTTATTACGTGAACGATTCCTATCCTTTGATTGGAATAATCTATAATATAAAAGAAGGAAGCAGGAAGGAGAGAACAGGGGTGGCTTGATAATTTGCTCTTTTGTTTCTTTGTCCTCATTCTGGAGTTTTAGTTCCTGATTCTTTTTTCACTTGTTAAACCACAGTTTCCAGTGGCTTTTTCAGGTTTCTTTTCTAGAAGCCTTGTATCTGATCATGTTCATGCTTGTTTTCAAACACAGAGGACAACTTGGCAGGATTTTCCTCTCTTGTCTCTAATGGTGATCACTTCAATTGGAATTGGAGTGTGAGTTGATGGAAAGTAGTTTCCAGCTCATTTTTCAAATTAGGAGCATGACATCACCATGTGTAGGTAAATGTTTAAAAACCAGCTCTCTGGGAGTGGGGGTGTTTGCTGATTTCTGAGGTGTAACTACTCCCACCATGGCAGATTTCAGGATACCAACAAGACTTCACAGAGTTGGAAAGAAATGCACTGTAGCAAACCATTATGTCATCTGCCCACCCCTACAAACACCGTAACCCTGGAGTTCTGGTAAAATGTAGTAAATACTTATGAAGTGATGAGTTTTAGGCATTTATTACTTATGTTTTTGAAGAAAACTTATTACATGGTAAGCTTTTATAGTTTAATTTCTAACAATGGCTTTGTTGAACAACTAGCTCTCAAAGATCCTGGAAAGTAACCATTGGTTTTAAAAGCATCGACTGGGATTCAGAGAAGTCCACTGTCTTGCTGAAGTGTCAGTGTATTAGTTGACAAAACCTGGATTAAGGTCAACTGTTTCTAAAAAACAAATTTCTCTAGGAAGATTTACTTATTAATATTTCTGTTTATCCATTTGTTATTTTTTATTGCATGCTGTAATGATCTGTGAAAGGGATTTAGGAGTGTTACAGGCTGTTAATTTTCTATTGAGACAATAACAGAATTATCTGAATATAATTGTGACCAAAGATGGAAGTGTGGAAAGCAGATTCGATTTAGAGCCATAAATAAATTCTTGCTTTGAGTCTTGGCCCTACTACTTGCCAATGGTGTAATCTTAAGTCACTTACGTACTTCTCTGACTCCAGTTTTCTAGTCTCCAAGATGAAAGAATTGGGCCACATGAATATCTAATATCTCATATCTGTCAAAAATATGATTCGCTATTTAGACACATCAATTCAACAAATATATGCCAATACCAATTATGTACACATTTGTTACGGACTCTATTCCAGGCAGAATTAAATACAATATAGTAATAGGAATTATTATTATAAAGCAGCTCACATTTATGCAGAGCCCTATAATTTACCAAAGAGAAAGTTTACTTTGAGTCTTGAGGTTCCATGGCTCTAGGAGATCAAGACACATCTTCATAGAATGTTAGAGAAAGAAGAATGTTAATAAAGAACAAACAGAACCCTTATTCCTAGGAAACGCAAGAGGTCATAACCAGGTATAACAAGGAATAAGGAACAAGCATTTTTTGCCATGTCTCTCAGTTGCTTCACTTTATCTTAACAAAAGCAAAACCAAAAACTAATTTTTTCTAATTATAAGAGTAATTCTTGTAGAAAATTTAGAAATTTCAAAGAAGTATTAACTAAGGAGAAACTACCATATATCCAGTATAATTGGTCTTCTTTCCTAATGTTTTAATATATTTTCCAAAATATTCTCATCATTTGAATTGCTGTATATAATTCCATCTTTTGGGTGTACAACAACTTATTTATTCTAAATTGTTTGCAATGTTGACAGTTTTTATTATTCTAAGGAACACTATGATAAATAGCTGTGCTTATAGAAAAACATTGTACTTTGGACATATGGTTGCCAACTGTAATATTTAAAGTTTAGTAAGACAATTTTAGCAAATCGTCTACTTTGACCTTTAGGTTATTTAATTCTGCCAATGTTGCTTTGTATTTACTTAGATTTTTATGTTTCTAAACATTAGGAGGAACAGTGTGCCTGAATCCTTCAATATGATGTATTTGAACTGGAAATAGCATCAATGTTTTCATATTATTTCAAATAGACATGATAAATTGTATGGTTATTTTTTTTTCACTTTCTGTGGGCAATAGCTTCTAGTACCAGGTTTTTTGTTTAGAAAGTACTCAATAAATGTTCAATACATGATAAGATTCAGGCTAATTTAGGATAAGCAAAAACATTTGATAAGGATTTAAGAAAAAAAAAACAAACTTCTCCATTTGTGATTATAGCTTTCATTTTTGTGAGGAGAGGTGACAGCCAAGCACAATTCAGGATTTCTGATGGTTAAATGGGAATTATGAAATGAAGTATGTTGTTGCTTTAATTCACCAACACGAGAAACCATGAGTCTAATAGTTATTTGATTAAATGTTAATGAGATCTGCTAAATTGACCCAACTCTTACTTTTACGTATTAGATTTATGTCAATTAAAACAAGATGAGTTTTACCTCTTTCCTTCTTTAACATCTTTGAGTCAACATCTGCTTACAAAGGGAAGTGTTGTTACTACCCTGGTTATTTAAATATTAATGACTTCCATTAAAGGGAGCTGGAGGTTTGCAACAGGAAGATTGAGAAATTAGATGGTGTGATTAGGTTCTTGTTTCTGCCGCCAGGAAAAAAAAAACAAACACACACACACACACAACAAAAAACAAAAAACCTCTTACTGGAAGAGCTTCTTCCAGTATTTTTTTAATTCCACAGATTTTTTTTTCCTGAACCAGCTAGTAAGATTGTTGATTTTAAGTATTCCTTGAAAGTAATTATGTTATTAAAACATCAGTGTAACAAGTGCACATAATAAAAAACAAAAAGTTTTATCAGTGCAATAGTGGTCATTACCCTTGGGCTTCTTGGGACTAATTTCAGTTTTTAAATTCATTTTGTTCCTTATTATAGTCAATAATAGGCAAAACCATTTTTTAGCTACATATTATATTTGTTTGGGCTTGTTTACATGAAGTATGGGGAATTCTATTAAGCTAACCATGAAAGATTTGACAAGCATTGTATATTCGATCAAATTATAATTATAAATGCTTATCTTATTGGAGAATTGTGTCTAAAATTTGTTACAACCAGTATTTTCATGTTGTGCCAACTTGGGTTGTGATAAGCATGTGGTAATAGATTTTTACACATTTCGTGTTTTTAGATGTTTTAATGGCATGGCATTTTTAAAGCACTATTTTAAGCAGTCCAAAGCAGACATTATATTTGCATAATTATATATTTCTTTCTATATCCAGAAACCTGAATGAGTAAAGTATTTATTCATTTCATGTACTTTACTTAGATTTAGAGCTAAGAATTTGGATCATGCTTAATTAGTAGTGCAGAGTAATAATAGCACTGATATAGGATCATAATACTTAGTATTAAGGATTAAGGTAAATCAACTGAGGCCCCTGCCCAAGGTAAAATTCAAGAGAGTACTGAAAAACTCAATAATCATGATACACAGTATTTTAATGCAATATTTGGAAAACATCAAAATTAATACAAAAAAAATCCATGATGAACAAAACATCAAAATTTCAGAAAAAAATGAGATCCAGCCCTGCCTCTACCCCTGATTTACCTTAATCTGGTCTTTGCCTTGATGGGATTCAGCATGTCCTTGGATAAGATAGTCTTTTGAATCAAGTTTTCCTTATCTAAAATTGGTGATGATAATGTTTGATTTCTGGGTCAAGCTATTAAGATATTCAAATCAACTGAAAACACATGGGAAAGTCCATTGTAAATACAAGTTACATGTTTATGTAGAAGTTTAGGGAAATCATCATACAATTTTAAACCATTATTGTTATCAGCTGAGATAAATAGGCAAACGCCAGATTTGAAGAACCCTTGAGGAGCTGTGTTCATTAAGTTTGAGGTGTAGGTCTTGAGCTTAATAGCTAGCTATAGGGGATAGTTTTAGGACCTTCCCTTTCTTCCTTCTTTCTTTTTTGTCCTCGGAATCAAAGTTTATGGTTTGTAAGAGAAGGGGTAAGTGGAAATCCATTTTATTTTAAATTTCTCTACAAAGTACCCATGGACAACTGAAGTCTCACTTTTGCTCAAGCTGTTTTACCCATCAGTGATGCCTTCCCTATTTCTCCTCCCCATCTGGGTTCCACCCACCTTTTACTCACATCCGATTGGTAAGGCCTTCCTGGGTTCTCCTAGTCTGAGGTGTGTTCTCAGTCCTCTCCCTTCCTGTGGTCGATAACTGTCTCTGCCAACTCATTTGGTGATGAGTTAGAGTCCTTGTTGTCTTGAGGCTTTATCTAATCCTGTACTGAATTTACTTTTTAGACCACAGTTTTAGAAATATAAGTTGTTTCTAGTGATAATGATAAATCCATGAACAGCCCCTCCTTGTCCCTTAGACTATTCACTTCAGGGTAAGCAGGGGTTGGGTCTGTTTTATTCAGGTGGTATCCAAGATGCTTTGCCAAGGGGCTTTGCCACACAATATACTTTGGGTTGGTTTTGTTTTGTTTTGTTTTTTACACAATATGCATATTTTTTGATTGAAAATAAATGAATATCTTGTATGTCAAAAGGCTGGTAAATATTTACTCTTTGGAATCATTTGTTGTTTTCATCCTAGGACTAGGAGAATGGTTGGTGCTATGTGGAAGGCAATTGTTTTGGTGGCCCTGTTCATGTTCTGCCCTGGTGGCGATGGGCTCTTTCACTCATTATACAAAAGAGCTCAGGTTTCCGTACCACATAAAGGAGACGTAGGAGAGCCATTATTTCTTACTCCCTACATTGAAGCTGGGAAACTCAAAGAAGGTAAGTTTAATAAAATCAGAAAACCATTGGCATATTTTCAACATTTTTAAAAAATATTTTATTTATTTATTCATGAGAGATACAGAGAGAGAGAGAGCGAAAGAGAGAGAGAGAGAGAGAGAGAGAGAGAGGCAGAGACACAGGCAGAGGGAGAAGCAGGCTCCATGCAGGGAGCTGGACATGGGACTTGATCCCTGGTCTCCAGGATCACACTCTGGGTCAAAGGCGGCACTAAACTGCTGAGCCACCCAGGCTGCCCAACAGTTTTTTGTTTGTTTGTTTGTTTTAAAGCAATTATCTTACAGGATTCAAAATATATTCTGGTATTTTTACACTTCTATTTATAAAACTAGCATAGTGCCTGGCCACAATTGGGCACTTAATAAAGTTAATATTCTCCTTAGAACTTCATACACGTCAGCTACTGGTTCCCAACCCAAGGCGTTGTATCCATTTGACTGACACACAAGAACACTAAAGCAGACAGAGATTAAGTTACTTGCCAGAGTCACATGGACACCAACTGGTAGCTGCAGGATTTACACCCTCTCTCATCCCTCAGCCTCTGACCACAGGCACAGCGTTGGGCCGCGCTGCCCAGCAAGTTACCCAAACCTCCTAGGCCTCAGTTTCCTCATTAACAAGATGGGATATAACCTCTTAGTCAAGTTGCAGGAATGTTAAGAATCAGATGAGAAAAGGCACATGAAGACTCTTTGTAACCTGTACATTGCTCCATAATACTAGTGTTTGTGAATGGCTTTTTATTTAGAAATTGTGGGGTTTTCTATAATATTACTAATAGGGAAAAGGGTGGAGTGGTGGCTGGAGGGGGCTGTGGGGGCAGGAAGGGTTTTTAAGAAGGTAAGAGACATGTATTTGCTGATAGGAATGATCCAACAGAGGGGGAATTTGATCAGGGTGGGGGTAACGATTTCAGGAGTACTTGCCTTTTTCTTTTTTTTAAAGATTTTATTTATTTATTTGAGAGAGACCTCATGTGAGCCAGTGGATGATGTAGAGGGAGAAGCAGAGGGAGAGGAACAAGCAGACTCTGTGCTGATTGCAGAGCCCGACATGGGGCTCGACCCCACAACCCTGAGATCATGCATGCCTGAACTGAAATCAAGAGTCAAAAAAAAAAAAGAGTCAGACACTTAACTGACTGAGCCACCCGGTGCCCCAGGAGTACTTTCTTTAAGCAGATGAGAGACATGGTGCTGGCACATAGATGGGGGTGTTTGCTTTGAAGGACTGAAGTTTATCTCTAATCACAGGTGGGAAAACCTAGTTAATGACTGGGAGGCTGCTAGGTTGGTAGATAGCATGAGAATGTGGAAGTGATACTGGATATTTTAGGGAAATATTTATTTTAAAGATCAAAAATAAGTCTTATCAAAAAAGATCAAAAATAAAGTAAAAAATAAGTCCTCTATAGAAAAGTTCTAAAATAAAGCAACTTTTCTTCACTTGAAATATAATCATAGCCAATAGGATATCATCAATTTATTTTTTATTTTTTATTTTTGTTTCGTTTGCTTTAAAACCAACACATTCTTGTATCTTAAAAGTGCTTTTGAGTCCTGGTCATATGTCTTCTGGTATACACATGATTCCACATCTCCTGTCTCTTTTCTAAGAGAAGGTGAAAAACTTTAGTAGTGTAGTCAGTGTACATCAGGGTACAGTTGATGATGTAGTCAGTCCTTTAAAAAAAAAGATTCATTTTTACTTGATGTGGAAAAGTCATGAAAAGATGGTATCCCGGTGGCACAGGCTCACATTGCTAGACATATATGAAGAAGCAAAATATCCAAATCCACCAAAATGGATCACCATGTTTTGGTTTCTTTAATAAATGGGCACTGACAACTTAGATTACGTTCATTAACAATAAATCAAAGCATGTTTTCAGTTTAGGGCTGAAAAGGAGTTGAATACTCATAACCAGTCCTACCAATCCATAGGTGAGAGGAATTCAAGACTCCAGTACCTTACATGACTTGCCCAAGGAGGTGTAGATAAGAGTACCAGAGATGCGTTTAGGACACAGGTTTTTTGACTTCTTTTCTGTAATATGCCGCTATAATTTATTTCCTTTTGTTTAAGACTCTTGTGTTCTTTTTTTTTCTTAAGATTTTATCTGTTTGAGAGAGAGAGAGAAAGAATGAGGTCAGGGAGGGGCAGAAGGGGAAGGAGAAGCAGACTCCCTGCTGCGGAAGGAGCCCTTCGAGGAGCTCGATCCCAGGACCCTGAGATCATGACCTGAGCCAAAGGCAGAAACTTAACTGACTGAGACACCCATGCACCCCAAGATTCTTGTGCTATTCTGAAGTGACCAGATGCACACACATGAAACAAGGAATAAGACAGTGAGCTAAAACACTAAAGTATTACACTTGAAGTAGGCATGCTGGAAATTTTGAGAAGGAAGCTATCCTATTGGTTGGTAGAGTCCAGAAAATAGTACTAGTGTAGTAGTCAAAATAGCAAATGGCTAATATTTAATAATTATATTCCCAGGACCTAGCACAATTTCTGTATGTAATAGGCACTACATAAATATTTGTGGAATTTAAGTTTTAGACCTGATTACGTGCCAGAGATGGGTGTAACCCACACCTTAGCTTATTTAATACTCAGGGCAACCCTAATGAAGAAGGCGTAATTATTGTTCCCATTTTACAGATGAGAAAACTGAGGCCCAGAGATATTATGTATCTTGCTCAGGGCCATTTAATGATAGTAAGTGGCAAAGGTGGAATTAAAACCTATCTTTGCTGACTCCAGAACCCCACCTATGAGCCACTGCGCCGTGTGACTAGATCCAGAGCTGAAAGGCACTAGGTAAGATTTGGGCAGATGGAGAAGGGATGTGTATAGTTTTAATAGAGGCATTTGGTGAAGACGACTGTGATGGTGTGTCACATCATATAGCTGGGAGAAGCAAGTGAAAAGAATATAGAGAAGCCCATCTGAGAGACCGTCCGCATCCCTCCCATTCTTGTATTTGTTGCCTACAAGCTATTCACCATTGTGGTCATCAGCAGCAGTGAAGAAACTCTTGAGGGAGGTAGTTTTCATCCTCTGTCCTTCTGTGCCAACTCTGATGGATCACCATCTGATAAGGGACAACATCTAAAATAGTAAATCTGATGTAATGTCACTTTCTACAGTTCTGTTACACTGTCAAAATCTTTGAATGGAATTTTAAGTGGCTGATCTGAAATCTGGTACATCTGGGTATTCAAATGCAGTCCTGATAACATAATTAAGGATAATTTTATTCATCCGCTTTACTGAAAGTTCAGGAAACCCTGGACAGATGGTCAGCACATTCCCCTAAATCCCTTTTGTTTATTGAGTCTGTCAAAACCTTAGGAACGTGAGTCTTAGGATCGCAATGGAACATTCTTGAGATAAATAGTAATTCAGAAAAAGACAAAGGGATTTTTAACTTTTTAATCTCCCAATTAGCTGATTTAGTTTTGCGTAATTGTAATTGCATGTTTGCTTTCTCTGCAGCTAGAATAAACCCCTGAAACAAAATGAATAAAGGAGGCAAATTTAAAAATTCTAACAGACACAGCCTTTTCACAAACTTTAAAGAATATTTTGTTATAAGGTGTAAATTTATTATGACTTATGGTCTGGCAACGTCTTCTCCATCCTGGAGGCTTTGTGAATATGATGTGCACCCTGACTAGCTGGTTCAAGTCCTTCTTTGGTCACATTCCAACCTTTTTCAAAGTGTTAATATCACAAACATTGGTAACCGCAGTAAATAATAAGGAGGAAGTGAAATCACTTCAAAGAAGACCTTTTCCTTTTTTTAACTGTTTTGAACATTTGTATTGTGAGTCATAGTTCCAGGAAGTAAGAAACTCCTACATCTTGGGAATTTGTTTTCCACGTTCCATTAAAAGGCTCTGGAAGGATGAACCCAACATTTGAAAGTATGAAATATCATTTTAGTTGAAAGAACTTTTAATTATTTTACCATGATTTTGTTAAGGGAAATTTAAAAGTTGAAATGGAGTGAAACACTTTTTTTTGTGAGGCAGGGAAAAGTTCTTCTAAATTCTTAAGATCTTCATAAGGCCTGCCTTCCTTAGGAGGATTTTGTAGAAATATGCTAATTTTAGTGCATTGTCAGTGCTACAGGTTTTAGTTTATTAATTCATGCATCCATTCACTAACATTCATTAAAAAGTGTGCATCGAATGCCTTTGAGTTCTTAAATCAGCATCTCTGTGGGTCCAAAAATAAACAAGACAATTTCCCTGCTTTCCAGTAGCCTCTGGTCTAGAAGGGAAGGCAGCAAATGTACCTGAGTAAAAGACAGCAGGCAAGCAACTTTGGAATCCTCAGAAAAGGAGGGGCTGGGGGAGCATCTGAGTCCTTTTCAGAGCAGGCCAGCGGACCTTGTGCTGTGCTGGCCTCAGAGAGATAGATTGATTCAATCATCTCTCTCCCATATTCCATTCCCGCCAGCTCCTTTCTATTATATATTTCCTTTTTTCTCATTCTACTTTGACCTTTCTCATTTTTCTCGGTCTTCTTTTTCGAATCCTCTCCTGCTCACTTACCTCTCTGTGATTCACTTCTCACTTATTCCCAACCCCTCCATCTTCGGTTCTCTATCCTCCTTTTGGGGGTGGGGTCGTGCTTCTCTGATTTTGAAAAGATTAATAGTTTGGGGGAAAATATGTCAGAAGTGTTTCAGGTACAAAATTCCAATTATAAAAGAAATGAGTCCTGAGGATATAATAATGTATGGCAGAGTGACTGTAGTTCACAATACTGTATTGCATGTTTGAAAGTTGCTAAGGGAATAGATCTTAAAAGTCCTTGTTATAAGAAAAAAAACTTGTAACTATGTGTGGTGATGGGTATCTACTAGACATTGTGGTGACCACTTTGCAATATTGAATGGTTAGGTTGCACATCCGAGACTAATATAACGTTATACGTGCATTAGATCTCAATTTTTAAATGGCCAAAAGAAAAAAAAAAAGAAAAGGTTTTGAAAGGCTGCCCAGCCCTGGAGGGTGATCCTTCTTTGGGCTAATTGAGAGCAGAAGCAAAAGAGGGTGGAAGGAAGCAAGACTGCTGGGTGGGGGAAGGGTGTCAGCTGGCACATACCACTTTCCCTAAACATCTCCCTTTTCCTTTTCTTAAAATGCCCCGCTTCCTTTCTTGTTTCTTTGCCTTTTTTCTGGTAGGGAAGGATAGATCTCTTTGGAAAGAGCACGGAAAGAGCTAGAGAAGCTGAATTGAGTTAAGCGATCTTCCCTGGGATCCCTGGGTGGCGCAGTGGTTTGGCACCTGCCTTTGGCGCAGGGCGCGATTGTGGAGACCCGGGATCAAATCCCACGTTGGGCTCCCGGTGCATGGAGCCTGCTTCTCCCTCTGCCTATGTCTCTACTTCTCTCTCTCTCTGTGTGTGTGACTATCATAAATAAATAAAAAAATAAAAAAAAAAAGCGATCTTCCCTGGGGGAACTGGACTAAGCCAGAAAAAAGCAAAGTCTTCTAGACTGCAGGTGGGGAGGCCCATGAGAGCTAGTGACAATCTTCTCTTCCCTTGCCGGAGTCTCATTTTATGTGCAGCTTTCTTCATTTGATCCTCGCAGAAAGCCCAGGGTGGGGAAATCAGTACCCACATTTTGCATAAGAGGAAAGAGAGACTCTGAGAGATAAAGCAACTTGTCAGGGAGCCTAGTTGGAATCGCAAACCTGGGTCTGCCCGATTCAGAAACCTGTGTCCTTGTTCTACTGGCTTAGCAGGACCCTCTGGAAACTGCTGTAGAAACCCTGCCTTTGTCTCCCCATCGCCTCTGCTCCTTGTTCTAATCAGCAGGTGCATTTCCCAGGTAACAATAGCTGAGCTCCCGAAGACCCAGCTTCTTGTCTAAAGGTTATACGTGTACAGCCTCTTACTCTCATTGACCCATGAGGTCATCCACCTTCGCAGATGCGAAACTGAAGCACGGACAGTACAGGTTAAATGACTGCCCAAAGGACCACAGGGCCGGCCAGTAGCAGCGTGAAGATCAGCAAAGGGCAAAGGAAAGGGAACGGTGCTCTTCTAGAGGAGACACTCCCTGCGAGGAGGGACACTATTTTTTAAAAGAGAAACTTGCAGCCCCTGGGTCATGGTGTGCTGCTAAGTTTCACAAGCGGCTCTGGGGGGCGGGGCCCTGACTTGTAGCACCCATCCCTGAGTATAAACATCCTTACCACAGTCCATTGCATGCTAGCAGGGATGTTGCTGAGTGCCAGGTTGGGAAGAGGCACTGACAGCACTCCAGAGCCTCTGGGCTCCAGCACCCTGCTAAGGGCATCTTTAGTTGGTGGCGTGTGTGAAGGACCAGGCTTCTGGACCTATTCCTCTCTATTAACCAGTTTCTAACTTAATACATGTCAGACATAAATAGCTTTTCTTGAATCATTAGTTTCTTGGGGGACACTTGCTTTGTCACCACCAAGGAGCCTCTCTTCACCCAGACTCCTCTTTTAGTTCCCCATACACCCTGCCATCTGTTTCCTGTTTCTTCTCCATTCTTTTCCTAATCACTGCTCCTCCTCTCACTCCCTGCCACCCATGCTTTCTGAATAACTCTCTGGTCCTGAGCAGTGTAGCAGGATGAGAGAAGGAATAGACTCTGCAGCCTTGCAGCCTGTTAGTTTTGAATCCCAGCTCCCCTTTACTAGCTATGTGACCTCAGGCAAGTTACTTACCCTCTCTGAACTTCATCTGTAAAGTGAGGTAATAATTATACCTACCGCCCAATGTAAAGCCCTCAGGACTGTGGCCTTGAAAGTGTTAGCTCCTCAAGGGGTGCCTGGGCGGCTCAGTCAGTTGGGCATCCCACTCTTGGGTTCAGTTTTGGCACAGGTCCTGATCCCGGGGTCATAAGATCAAGCCCCCCATCTGTGTGACTCTGTGCTCAGCATGGAGTCTGCTTATCCCTCTCCCTTTGGTCTTCCACTCACATGTTCTCTCTCTCCAACAAATAAATCAAATCTTATAAATAATAAATAAATAAATAATAAATAAATAAATAAGTATTTGCACCTCATAGTACTATTTACTCCTGGATGTTCTCAAGCCATCTGAGCAGCCCCTCTTCCCCCTCCATGTTCCTGCCCCTTGGTGCCATAAAAAGCCATGACCTCTGCTCTCTACAACTATCCTGTTGTCCTATTTGGCTTCCTCTTAACAGCCACAGGATCACCCCTAGCCTTGCTGGCTGCCCCTCCTTACCCTCCCCAGCCTCCCACCCTGCCCACATGCGTCAGCCCATTTCCCTTAATGCAACTGGCAGGCCTTTTGCTTTCATAATAATGAGAGTGTGGAGATACAGGCCTTCCGGAGGCCAAGAGCTACTTAGCTATGTTGTTTTTCTTGCAACTGCCTCACCTTTTGGAACTGGGTGACTTCTGCTTTGGCCTTCCCAGGGACCCAAATGTGAATACCATGGCTTACTTTTCAGACTGGAACTGAGGATAGGTGCTATTCTCTTTTTCTTAAAAAAAAAAAAATCTTATAGTTCACACACACAAAAAATGTCAAAACTGTCACTTGTCCTTGGCTAAGTTGTAAATGTTGAGTATGTGGCATTGACCAGGAGAGGCTGGAATTTGCTACAGTAAATACCTTTGTGCCAATCCCCTGGTAGCCTTTTGGATCATCCATCCCAGACCTGGCCCCTGGGAGGGAGAAGACAGGCCAAGAGGGAGATGGCTCACACTGTATTATTTTTCTAATCCCTGGGTAAACTTTTTCTTCCGCCAGCAAAAACAAAGAGTTTGGTCACTGCTTTCTCAGGATTGAATGTGAAGAGTTACGCTGGCTACATCACCGTGAATAAAACCTACAACAGCAACCTCTTCTTCTGGTTCTTCCCGGCTCAGGTAGGCCTGCTAAGAGTGCCCTAATAGGATACTACCCCCTCCAGCTGAGAATGCTGCCCCAGGGCAGAAATGTTAGCCTACAAAAAAGGGACTGTTATTTTACTTATTTATTTTTTTTGCATCTTTTAGATTTTTTTTATAAAAATAAGTGCCAGTGACTCTGGTGTTCCTGTTTATGTGCAGGAAACGAATGTTTGCAGGGAAGGTCCAACTTTTAAATTCCTTGCAGCCTTATTCAGAATATTCACATTATCACTTTCTTCCTGCCACAGTCTTCTTATAAATCATTCTGTCATTGTTCTGTTCTAAAAATATCTTGGGCAAGGATGGGCAGTAGGGAGCCAATGGATGATAAGGAGTGGGAACATTCCCCAAGTACACAGGTAATGCACGTCGAGAGTTAATACATTGTGGACTTCCATGGCTGCTCCATCCACAGACTTTGCAGTGCTCATTATTATTTTTGTACTCACCCTTTCATGCATCCAGGACCCACTGAGTGGGACTCTGTGGGGCCACAGAAGAGAGAAAACAATTTATTTTGGGAGTCTTTGCGGGACAGGTAGGGAGGACTGCAGATCTAGGATGGCTTCCTAAAAGATGGATCCCTCACTTTCTCAGGCCCAGACACACGCACGCACACACGCACACACGCACGCACACACACACACACACACGGCCAGGTATGTTCTTGTACTTTACCCATCTTACTTAGTGCATGGCAGTGTCACACAATTCTTCAGCATGAACAAATCACTTTAGGCTAATGGGTACTGTGGGGGGGGCGGTATTGGTAGAGGTGTTGAGATAAATAAATAAATTTTATTTATAAATAAATTTTATCCCACCACAGGATAATTTTCTATTTTTACTTTCCAAATTGGATTTGGTTTAGAAACTAGAGAAAACAAAGAAAAAGCTATCCCTAGGGAGGGTTGTATTTATATTTGCATGTGATTTGCATATAGCAGCGTTGCATATATAAAATTTGTTTACTCTACGGTAGTTTTTTTCAAGTTAAATTACTTTTGTTGGTACTATTGGGTTGTATTTTCTTAACTTCTCATTTGTCTTCCCAGCCATGGCCTGTGACATAGTTGACCACATAGTTGTTTGATGGGAGGAAACATGTAAGAATTGGTGAGGCATTCCAGACGCTTTTTGGCTGGGCTCATAGTAGTCTTCCGGCTCTCACCTACTCTGGGAAGACTGTGCTGGACCCTAGAGTTTTTTATTTTTTCCTTGGTGTTACTGTTGAGTATGCAAGTGAGGTGCTTAGAGCACAAAATCAAAGGAGAGAACTCATTGGGTGCAATGTTGGCACCCAAGTGCCCTCCAGACTCCTGCTGCTACCTCCCATTGGTGGAACCCATCTGGGAAACAGAGGTGAGGGAGTCCAGTCCTCAGCAGCCTGTGTACCAGGGCACAGAGCAGAGTAGAGAATGGATCTTTAGAAGCATGGAGGGAGACATCCAAATATCCAATAAGATTGAACTGGTATAAATTAAGCCTCACGCGATAATGACCTCATTCTAACATGTGGAGATTTTGGGTGTGTGTTCTTGGAAATCTCTTAAACTTTATGCCTTTCAGAAACCATGCTATATATGTGCATTTTTAATATCACACCTTTTAATGTCGTTGAATAAAGGCATTTATCATAAAGCTTTTGTATTCTCTATCGCTGCTGTACAAATTACCACAGACTTAGTGGTTTAAACAATGCAAACTTTCTATTTCACAGTTCTGTAGATCAGAAGTCTGACATAGGCCTTCCTGGGCTAAAATTAAGGTGTCGGCAGATCTGTGGTCCTAATGGAGACTCTTAGCAGGGATCTGTTTCCTTGCCTTTTTGTTTTCTAGAGGCTGCTCAGAATCCTTGCTTCATTGCTCCTTCCTCTGTCTTCATAGCCTGCATTGGCAAGGAGGCTGAATCCTTCTCCCATTGCGTCACTCTGGTCAACTCCATATGGTCACATGACCTTCTCTGGCTCTTGTCTTCTGCTGTCCTCTTTTATGTTTAAGGATCCTTTTGATTACATTGGGCCCACTGGATAACCCAGGATAATCTCCCTATTTTCAGGTCAGTTGACTAGCAACCTTAATCCCATCAGTTACCTTAATTCCCAATTACCATGTGACTTAACCTATTCATGGGATCTGGGTATTTGGACATGGACACTTTTAAGGCCATTATTCTGTTCAAAATGGGTACTTGAAAATTTTGCCTAGATTTATGATTCTTAGTATGTTCTCTCTCAGTAATTCCCACATTTTATTGTATTTAAGAATTATTTCCAAATCTCCCCAGAGACTCTGACTTATAAATTGGAAGAGGCCAACCGGTTGTAGAATTACCAGATGGACCATGCTTGAGAAACCATGGTTCATGCCTACAGGCCACTGTCCTGCTTCTGGTGCTTCTGGCCCCACAGTGATCTACATCCCTTTTATCAAAAAGAAACACCTCTCCCAGCTAAAGTGGTACAAGTGCGGGTGATGGGTTGTCCCATGCACCCACCTGGGTGAGGGCTGGAATGCGAGCCTGAAGAGAGGAGTGTAGCCTGTGGGGTCAACTTTCCTAAAATGGCTTCGTGTTCCTCTAAGGTGTTCCTCTAATCCTGCTTGGTGTTCCTCCATTTCCCCTGAGGTCTCTGTCTCCCTTAACCCCGAGAAACCCCATTTCCAACTTCCTCTTCTGCTTTGGTGGCTGTTTCTGATACCAGGAAGTTCCCCCATTGACTTCTGTATTTTGCATCTTTGATAGTAATAATCCAGATTTGTGAAAACAGGAATTAATGGTGAGCGAAGTGGTCAAATGAAAACAAAACAAAGACTCAGTCATTTCTTTCTTCGGTTGCCTCTGAGCAGGTGTACAGCTTCATCTAGAGCATAGGTCGTACACTGGGACTGGAAAGCCCATTGGGTAAATGGGCTTACATTCTATACCTTGTCCTGATTGCCAGACTGACATCTGAACCCCCACTGCATTAAACAGGGACTGAGCTGTTAGTGTCCCCCCTTAATTAAATGAAGATCTACCTCTGTGTCCCCTGGCCAGATTATGTTCTTTTGAGCCCAGGACTATAGCCTTAAACCTATTCTAAGATGATCCCAGAAGATATAAACTCAAGGCCGCCACAACAGGAAAGAAGATGCTTGAGTGCAGCATGTTCTATTGGCAGTGATAGGCTCAGCTTCAGGAGAGAAACAAGCAGGATGGAAAGATGGTACCACTGACAAGTGTCACCAAGTGGCAGCCAGGATAGATTGTTCTGAGCCCCCCTTACCTGGGGAGCCCACACACACAGCTGGCATCCAAGGCCCCAAAGTAACCATTCTTGCCAAGCCAGTCAGGCTGTAAATTATGAAACAGGCCAGTTTGGGTGAAGAAGATAAAGCATGTGAAAAGGAGAAGCAGTGATCACCCAGACAGGGGAAGAGTACCTTTCATTTGGCAGAAATATTAGTTCCTTGCCTGTCACAGGGAAGCAGCTAATATTATCATCAGGAGAGAAATAACCCTCTACAAAAATTGAAGGTAGAGAAAATAAGAGATCCAGGAAGGATGCCACACTTGTAATATCCTTTGAGTATTTTGGGGAGGATGGTGTTTCTCAAATTAGTTTTGTCTTCCTGTTAGTTCTGTGAGACTTCTCTGTTATTGTATACAAATCAGTGCATAATGGATTCTAGAGCTGGAAATTGATGTGCAGTGGGGATGCAATATGCAGGAGGAATAATAGGCATTTGGCATGATAGAAAAAGTGTAATGAGGCCAATAAAAATGTCATAATTATAATGACTATTGTTAATTGAACATTGACTATGTGCTAAGCACTGTGCATTTTCTTATTACATCCCTACAATAACCACACGAAAAAGCAATTATTATCCTTGTTTAATAGATGAAGAGGATTACAGAGATCAAATCATTAGCTCCAAGTTGCCCAACTAGAAATTTGCAGAACTTTGAATTTAAAACTAGGCCTCTGATGGTGAAATCTTTTCTTTTGATCATCGTATGTTGATCCTGAGAAAACTGGCCATGGAAGGTGCTAGACTAGGCTTTAACATGACAGTTCTTGAGTTAGTCAGGCTTGTACAAAACCTTGGTTTGTATACACCACATGTGAGGATCATGATACCTACCTGACACCGGTTTTGGAACAAGTGAAAGAATGTGGGAAAGCCTTAGACTGATGCCTGATAAGTAGAGTTTCTATTGCTATTATTTCATTATCATCATCATTATTAGTTTTCCTGTTTATTAACACAAATACTGTGCAGAACTAAACCAGTTGCAATGTGGGAGGTTAGAAGAGATCAGGAATGGGGCAATTCTAAATCGGAAGTCGCTGAACATCAGCGAAGAGTGTGGATTTATTGCTACTGGGTAGAGATTATAAGGCAAGAATGAGGCTTTCCTTGTTTGAGAAGATAAGGCGTGAGGTGATTATTTTTACGATTAGAATTCTTCCCACTAGAGAAAGATACCCTATATTTGTCTTATAGATATCAAAGATAGATGATTTATCGGATTTTTGCCTCAAATATTATGGAGTCCAAACCAGAGAGATTTAGAGTTAGGCCTACACCCCTTTACTAAGGGCCCCATCTTGCTCCCCTGGCCAAGGGGAGTGGCTGGGATTCCTGGAATCTGAGTATCTGGTGACTGAGGAAGTTCACTATCATATTGAGGAATCACCAAGACTGGGAGAGGGTGAAGTAGTCAGACTCCAAGAGTGACCTTTGTTTCTTGATAGCCATGCTTTTTGCAGTCCTCAGCCATATTGAATCAAGGCTGGTCTTTATACACTATAGAAGAAGCGATGGGGGGTGACGTCCAAGGCTATTTTCAAGGGTGGTGCTGCTTCCACCTTGGTCTCTTGGATCACTCACCCTGAGGGAAGCCAGTTACCTTTGGGAGGACATTAAAGTGACCACGTGTGGGTAAACCTGTATGGAGAGGAAGTGAGTCCTTCGCTCACCAGTCAGCA